TCCGCCGTTCTTCCCATTCCCCTCGATGCTTCAGTTCTGGGGTGAGGGTGGGCAGGGTCTGCTCCCGCCCCAGGCAGTGACTGGCTGGCGGGAGGCTCGGCCCATCATGGCCGCCTGGCCGCATGCCACCCTCACCAAAGCTTGAGGGAGACAAACATGCCTTTCCATCCAGAACGAGAGGAAATGCTGCAGAAAGAGAAAAATGCGGAACACAGAAGGCGGCACAGGATGCTGCGGTCGCGGTTCTTGGAAGGCTGATTCACCAAGAATCGGACTTAATGAAGAGTGTTTCGTAAGAGCGGCAGGCGGGTGACACCGCGTCCTGCCATCCCCAGCCCTACAGGACAGCTCCACAGGCCCAACCCTCGCCCCGGCGCCAGCTGGGGGAGAAGAGGCCCTCGCCCTCCTCCTCCTACTCCTCCTGCCACAAGACCTCAAACCACAAAAGGCGCCGCTGGCCCCTAGTGCTGGCCCCGGCACATGCCGTGCACAGGAAACACTGGGGGAGCCCCTGCCGAGGCCAGGGCTCTGACCACCCAGCCCACCAGCCACCTCGGTTCTGGGGCTGGTCCCCCCTGGTGTCTGGCCTCGCTCATCTCAGTTGACCAGAAACAGGCAGCACCAAACGGCCAGAGAAGCGCTCACGCTGAGCAGTGGGGGTGACTGTCCCCTCCGTCCCCAAGTGTCCTGCCCAGAAGGCCAGCCTACCCCTGATCTGCTCGCATCCACACTGCCGTCGAGAGGTGCAGAGTCTTCGAGTCCCCGTCATGGCCACACCCGTACGCTCTGTTCACAGCAGGTTCCAGCCTGCACCCTCAGCGGAGAAGCAGCCTCCTCCCAGGAGCTCTGGGCCTTGCCTGGAGCAGAGGCTCTGCCTGACAACCCAAGGCCGCCCTGCCCGATCTCTTCAGACCATGGGTTCCACCCCTCACCACCAATATTGCCCTTGCACCACCTACCCCCTCTCTGCCCCAGGATCATCCCTGACCAACAGGGACCCCAGCGCCACACAACAGGGCAAGGGTCACCGTGCTAGGGCACAAAGAGCCATCCTATGACCTTACAGAAAGACTCCAAGGAGGGAGCTGTGGAGGTGGCATGTCCCAGTGCCATGTGGCCTGCAGGCACCTCCTGTATGGCATCCCAAGACCCTCGAACCTTCCTGCACGACACTCTTCCGACATCTGAGACAAGATGAGCACCCCTCAATGCACTGTACACCCCAGAAAACAAGGGGAGTCTCCCCTCCGTGGAGCAGCAACCACCCCCTGCTCTCCCTGGCCAGGCTTTTCCTTCCCTGTACCCCATCAGCCCAGCCAGGTGCTGCCCAGAGGGAGGCCAGGCCAGCCAGGCTCTTGGTGGAAGAAGACAACCCCTTCTCTGCTGTCTGGAAACCTTATCAGGGATGTCAACCCAGACGCTGCTGGGGCCGAACCAAGAGCAGTGGTCGTCTCAAAAGGCCAGACAAGCAGCATAGGGTGGGCTGTGGGAGGGGAGAGCCACTACGGCAGGCCCTGGGGCCAGATGTGAGCCACACCCCTACCCCCAGGATCTCAGGAGCCCAACCTGCGCCATGCCCCCACCCCCACGATCTCAGTTCTGCTCTGCCCTGCGCTGGGCTCCGGGATGTTGCAGCTCTGGGTCACCATGTTTGATCTCAGAGAGAGGAAGGCCTTCACAAAGTGGCCACGTGGTGACCCACCCTTGAAGACTGGTTAGCAGGAGAGGTGCCTGTAACGGGCATCTGGCTGCCTGCCACCCTCACCAAAGAGGGACGAAGGCAAACAGGCACGGCCACCGAGGCAGGAGGGCCACCTCTGGGTCTCAGTGCTCCCCGCCAGGGAGGCTCCTCCGGACACAGGAGCTGTGTGTCCCTTTCTGTGTGCACCTTTCTGTGTGCTTTCTCACCAACCACTGCTCCTCGGGGAGGGATGGCTGGGTCCTGAGAGCCTGAGCTCCCAGGTCTCCCGCAGAACATGCCCTCCTACTCCCTCTACTTCCCGGGTGGGTGTAGCAAGCTGACCACACCGACAGCTCAGAGACAGGCGCACAAGACTCGAGAAAACCCAGCAATGCCGGGACCTGCAGAAGGAAAGAGGAGGCTCCGGCCACCGGGAGGGACATATCACCCCCAGGCCTGAGGAAGCCCAGCACCAGTGGGTGGCTTCTGTGCACACCACTGCAGGGGGGTCACACCATTGCGGGCCCCAGGCACACAGCGTGAGGGGGTCACACCACTGCGGGCCCCAGGCACGCAGCGCGAGGGGGTCACACCACTACGGGCCCCAGACACACAGTGTGAGAGGATCACACCACTGCATGCCCCAGACACAGCGCATGGCGCAGTGGCGGGGGGGGGGGGGTCACACCTGTAATCCCAGCACTGAGGAAGGCTGAGACAGGTGGATCACCTGAGGTAGGAGTTCGAGACCAGTCTGGCCAACATGGCGAAACCCTGTCTCTACTAAAAATACAAAAATTAGCCGGGCTTGGTGGCATGTGCCTGTAAACCCAGCTACTAGGGAGGCCAAGGCAGGAGAATCACTTAAAGTTGGGAGGTGAAGGTTGCGGTGGGCCAAGATTGCGCCATTGCACTCCAGCCTGGGCAACAAGAGCAAGACTCCATCTCAAAAAATAAAAAAAAGAGAAGAGAAAGAAAAGAAACAGCCCTGAGGGCGGCCCTCAGCCACTGTGCAGAAAGCTGGTCCACCGGGGCACACTGGAGACCCCAGGAAGGGGCCTGGACTCACCCCCCAAGATGAGGGCAGCTCCCTGGGACGTCATCCATCTTGTGGTTGCCACTGTGCCACAAGCCCTGTCCCTCTATGGGGACACTGCCCCATGCAGGGAAGGTGGTACACACAAGCAAGCAGTGCCCCGTGTCCACTGGCCTCCCTGGGCTGACCCTTGTAGCCCACCTTGAGGCGGAGACTGCCCCCAACCCACAGGCAGAGCGCACCAGCCGACACAGCTCCTCGGAGCTAGAGAAAACACTTGGTGATTTCCATTTCTCTCCAAACTGGAATTGTTCCCGTCCAAGGTCAACACTCTCTCATCTTTAAAACCTAAAGAAAAGCGTTCCCAGGTAGCCTCCACCTCTCCCCACACACAACCACAAAGTCTCCAGGTGCCCTGGAGCCCTGCAGGACACAGGGTGCAGACCACAGGTGCAAACTGGGCCAGAGCACCCCCAGCAGAAGGGCGCACAGGGGCTTCTAAGCTGCCCGCCCAGAGCTGGCTGCTGTGGGGCTTCAGCTGGACACTCAGGCTGGATCACCGGGTCTGGAAGGAAAATAGCCTCCACTAGTTACTTTATCCAGAGCTGGCTTCCTGGCACGCAGACATGCCCTGGGCCTAACACTCTGTCCCCATCTTTGCATTCTGAACAATTTCACCTTTGATAAAATGTTTTTTATAGCAAAGTCCTCCCTGACCATGGAACACATGTGAACGAAGGTGGCACACCCAACGTGCAAGTCCACTGTCATTCCTGAGCCCACCGTCACCCCCACGCCCCGTCACTCCCAGCCCACCGTCACTCCCAGCCCGCCGTCACTCCCAGCCTGCCGTCACTCCCAGCCCATCACTCCCGAGCCCACCGTCACTCCCGAGCCCTGTCACTCCCAGCCCGCCGTCACTCCCAGCCCGCCGTCACT